TACAAATGTCTTTCATTTTAGCCACACAAGTGTGAAAACTTTGATAGATCAATAGTAGACCCTAATTTGTCTGCTATATTTAGCAGTGACTTCCAAAGTTGTTTAGCAGATGTCTTTAGCCGTCTACCTGGTCATTGAGAAGAGTAGTAATGAATTTTTCCCTCCATGCCTTCCTAAGTTCCCACACAAAATGCTATGGCTAAAGCTCAGACACCCATGTAATCAAACAGGCCTGTAACACAGTAGGAAATTCTAAAACTTTGACAAGTTATCTTGACAAAGAAAAGACCAATTTTCTTGACAAGAAAATCAATAGTCACAGATTGGAAAGGAATTCTTTCCCCCGATATTTTCTGCACCAGAAATAAATCATTGGAAAACAATAGCCTGGAGAAGTAGTATAATAGGTGAAAAATTAGATGGAACTCAAACAGACTAGAGATGAGAGCCAGGTGAATGGAAGATTTGCAATGTGACCTGATTTATTGATCATAATTTAAAAGGCACAAAGCTCAACTAGAGGAGGAAACCCAGCAGAATGGTCCAGGTTTCTCCTTCTCCAACACATTGGTTGTAGCAAATAAGGCTGTTAAGAAGACAGAAATAAAATAGTAGGACAGAAATAAAAAGCTAGGGAATTGATGATTGGGGCTTTACACATTTTTTAAATTAAACTGAGACTAATTTTAAAGCTGAGTTTGATTTATTTTAATATTTCAAGGACAGTTGTTATATGCTTACAGATAAAAAAGGAGGGGTTATACTTCAAAGCTGTAATTATGCAGATTTATAAAATTTATAAGACTTCTCATCTTACTTCTCAAACAACTCTGGGCAGCTAACAAGCACATAAAAGGAGTAGAAAAATCAGTAAAAAATGTCTCAAATAATAAGGGCAGAACCGTAAACCAAGCTTTCTTAACATTCTAGTTCTAAGGACTGAGGGAAGAACGGTTTTGAATCCTTTCAAAAGGCCAACAGGTTAGGACCACCTAGTCTTCAGGGTGAAGGCTGTTTCATGGTGCAGATACCAGAACAGAGAAGGCATACCTCCTAAGTCCCATAAGAAAATACTGTTTCACAGAAGACACCTGGAACATGCTTACCATGCTGAATCAGGTGAGATAGAAACTACTAAAACTAGGCAGTCTCTCAAATAACCTAGATGTATGCCATATAGGGCTTCACACTGGATAACAAACACCTTGATTTGCACCCAGAAACTTCCTGGAAGCAGACCCAACTCAGTGATGTTACATGATATTATGTGGGGATAACATTCTGGGTTACTATATTCTGGACCACCTTTGGGTTTCAAAATACACTTTCAGGACATTTCCACATACACCATTTTGCAGTAATCCAGTCAGAAATCATTAATACATGAGTAACTATGAGCCGAACAACTCAATCTATGAAGAGGTGCAACTGTTGGATTTGTGCAAGGGCCCTCTTGGCCCCAGCTGCCACCTGTCCCTCAAGTGGGAGCCCAGAAGGACCCTTAGATGATACACCAGTTCAGGCTGTCAGAGAGGTACCACATTCAGAGTTACTGATGGAAACTCTCAAGATGTGGGGATCCGTAAAACCTATAGCCCCTTAATCTTGCTGGAGTTGAGTTATACATCTTCTGTTGGAAATGAACAGAGTCTGTTCATTCCCAAATTCTCACAACAGAACGAAGATGTACAATTATCATCAGTGATCAGTTCTGTCTCAGTGCTATGCCCCAGCCTGAACCCAACCTAAAAAGGTTCTAAATAACTTGTTTCTTCCAGGATACTTTGGAGCTCTGAGCAGGGGTTCAACTAGTGTTACTACCGGTTCGGTAACTACTGTGCACTGTGTGTGCACGTAAAATAAAACATCGGCTGTGCTGTCCAGACAGCTGAAAAGGTCTGCGTGCAAGTGCAGTGTTTGAAAAGCTGCTTTTTTTCTGCTTTTTCAACCTCAGCTGTGCCACAAAGCAGCTGAGGTTGAAAAAACAGGAAATAAGGGACGGATAAGAGCCCAGTTGGGCAGGTGGGTGAAACAGCAGCAAACACAGAACTGGTTCAGTGTCTGCTGCTCTTCAGAGCTACCAGTTCTACAGAACTGGGCAGAACCGGTAGCATTCCCCCCTGGCTATGAGCCTAAAAAGAGGTGAACTTCTTATCAACTGCTAATCAAGCAAGATCATGCTTCATTTTGCTTTTCAGAAGTGAAGCTTCTTGGATGAGAAGCAAAATGTTTTCAAAGAAAAAAAAACATAAGAAAGTCCATTTACTTTTGGAAAAGTACTTTGGGACAACTACCTGCTCTGTTTAATAGCTTATCTGCTCTCTACAAAGCAAAATGCACAGCAGGAGGACAATAATCTTTAGGAGTTTTTAAATATTGAAGTCTTCTAGATGTCCATGAGGTACAAAGTTCAGTATCATGAACTTTTGGTCATGTTGGCTTGGCGTGCTGGGAATTGCTTATATCAGCAGCCTCCTGTCTTCAGAATAACAAACAAGAATGATCTTTAAGGAAGACAGGTATAGATTTTTTTACTTGGTATAATATTAACCTAGTACTCCAGAAAGGCATTTCTAGACCAATTTTCATGAGTGTGCAGAATCATGAATATCATAGATCTTATTCTTTCTTTAGCAGTAAACTACATAGATTATTATAATATTAAAGTACTTTGGTTGACTCATAATGGACAGACTAATCATGGGAAATATAAATGTTTGCTTTTCATTCAATGCCATTTTCTTAACTGAGCCTAAGATTCAAATGTGAGTCTCAGGGTCAAATCTTTATCTTGCAAATTAGCTTTGGTAAAGGAGTAAGTAGGACATTTCAATTCATTGCAAATGATCTAAGACTTAACCTGAGGGTTAGAAAGTTATAAAAGCAAAGCAGCCTCCCCCTTTTCTCTCAATGAAGAGATCATTTGTCCCTGGAAAGAAAACAACTTTTGCAACAAGCTGGAATTTATTTCCTATTCCCAAGATAATTTTTATTAATAGTTTTAAATAGAGAGAATATGGTAACTTTGTTATTTTTACCTGGTAATGGTATAACTGCTGGTGATTATTTAGGTAGAATATAATGTCTACTAAAAAGTTAATTAATTTAGTTAATGGTTAAATGGCATTTAACATGAATGAATCACAGTGCACCATTCATTCAAATTTGTGTGGTAGATCTCACAGCATTTTGGATATTGTCCAGTTATTGCTACATGCGTTCTTTGAAAATTGATGCGACAAAATATTGCAGTACATAGATGCCTCACCTGCCATTGGCATTATTTTAAAACAATTCTTTGAAAAGAATAGATTCCCCATCTCTCCATTGCAAAGAGCTGGACCCCTACAACTGTCCCAAGGGCAAAGATTTAGAGCAGTGGTTGCCAGCCTTTTGGGCACCAGGCACAAGTTACATGGAGAAAGGTTTTCTGCAGACCAGAGGGAGTTAGTTTTGCATGCTGTCTGCATTTCATGGATGGGACTTCACTTGTTTGTGTGGACCGGTTGCTGGCATGCTGTGGACCAGGGGTTGGGGACCCCTGATTTAGAGTCCTCATTATAGTACCTGAACCAAATTGGCTTCTAACTTTTTTCAGGAGTGGAAAAATATACAGCTGCTAGCTACTGCTTTGAAATAGTACATGAATTTTGTATGCAAAAAATCAATAGGCATGCTGTTTAATTTCTAAGTTATATTTACCATTCTGCTTTTTTCAGGTCTCAATCTGTGGTGGAACCTGGAATATTAAAGCATGAAGAACAGAATGTGAATGAGAACACCCAGCCACTACTGGCTCTAGATTGAACTCCCTGCAAAATACAGCTGTATCCTCAGACTTCAGTGGTCCTTTTGAAGCAAATGACAGGTTTAATACATATTAATGTGCATTCAGCTTAAAAAAACCAAGCACTCCATCTTTGTGGAGCAAGTAATGATTATCACCAGCCATGTATCTGTGTCCAAAGCCAGAGGTAAAAGATTCCTTGTGGCCCAGAATAACAAGTGAACAAGTCTGATTGTAAAACATTTTTATAAGAGTACATTATATTAATAATGCCTGAAACACAGATTGCTTTCAGTGATCTGTCACTGAAAGAGGGATCTATTGAAGTTGTCTCATATTATTTAAGCAGAGATTTACAGTTTTGTTTAAATAAAAATTAGAAGGTGTGCATGCCTGTGCATATCCACATACATACGTATTTACACAGCCACTTTAAAAATGCCTTGAGTTTAAATAATGCAGTGAGAAGCCAACCTTGGTTTGCAGCACAGAAGTGTCACATCCAAAATTTGTCCTAATTATCTTCCATGATCACCCAGCAGCATGGTATCAATCACATTTACTAGGCATAATAGAAATTGTAATCTAATCTTTTTGGAGGGCACCCAGCTGGGGAAAGTTGGCATGTGTGAAATACTTGCAAACATAAGCAAGGTGTCATGAATGTCTTGGGAGATTAATGTTCCAATTGAGGATTTTTCATTTAGGCCAACTGGACCCAGCAAAATTCCCTTAAATATATTTTTTCCTGAAATCAGTTAAAGATATAGCCAATTCAGGTTTGACTGACTACAAATATAGGTATACTTATAATAGAAAAAAAAAGACTTTGAATCAGTTATTGAATATACTACCATTAGAAAGAAAAGTGGAAGAAATCATAAAATACCTAAAGATCAAAAGCCAAAGAACAGATTGCTATTCTAGACTTTGTTCTGTTTAAGGTCCCATCCATTTCCCACAAAGAAGTAAAAACAAACACTATTTTTTTTTTTACAAATCAGCTATATCAACATTATTTTTATTGTGATTTTATTTCTCCAAATTCAGTAATCACTTTAGTTGTACATCACAATATGACATAGCAGTATTTAGCAAACTTTAACCAGAGAACATTTAAACCATACTTATAGAGAGGCTTAATCACCATCGACAAGGATGGCTATGCAACTCCTAGGTGGTGCTCTGAAGCAGTGATGTTTTTCAACAGTGGCCATATATGATAAATCAAATCATATGTTGCTATCAAGTATCTTTAGTGGGAATGTGATCTTTTAGGAACAGTCTAATCTATAGTGCTAACAATATTGCTTGTACATTTTTCTGCAGAGGTTTAATTACTTTAATTAACATTGCTATTGTCCCAGAGCTGAGTATGACTTTCTTTCTTCTATGAAATCAGTAATGCTCAATCAGTCCTTTCTTCTAAGTGAAATACAGGGTCTCCATTCATAAAGGACACTTACTCTGGACCACAGCTTATCCTGGTCAAAAACCAAGTTGTTTTTTGTTTTTTGTTTGCTTTGGAACCAACAATGAAAACTATTATTGAAAACCAAGCAAGTGAATTTTTAATCAATGAGAAAATGTGCTGCACTTATGTTTCAGTGGGATTACATACCCTTCCAAAACAATGACCAAATGTATTGTAAATTTTGAAAAAAGGCTGCAACAAGCATTAAAAACTTATCTAAAGATTTGTGTAATGTATTTTCACAATGAAAGAATGTTTGGCACTTGTTCTTTTTCACTCACCATCCACCACTCTCGCGAATGCTTCTTGTTTTCATGGGTTTTGCACACAAATTGATTACATTCACTTATTTCAGCTGTCTCTCATTTTTCTGTGCCACATGGGTTAGGGTTAGTGCTTATTGATCAACATTTGACACTTAGCTCTGTAAATTTATGTAGCCATTCAATAATCACAAGAAGGATATTGTACCAATCAATTATGCCTGCAGTGGACAAAAATGGTCGGGCATAAGATTTTAATGTTTATGATGGCCAAAACAAAGAAACAAGAGTCAAACATCTTATTGGTGTGTTATACAGTATATAAAATACACAGACATTCAAGTTAGCAAATTCAACTCAGCTAATAAATGAAATTGTGAAGTAAATAAGCTTGTGTGAAGATGATAATATACTTTAAAAATATCACAGGATCATCTTTTCTAAATAATTTTGGTATTACTGAGGTTGAGGATGAATAAGTTCTACAGTGCATCACGTTTTTTTAATATGCTTCTTTCAGTAACATAGAGGAGTATAACTTTAAAATGAAAAAAAGTCAAAAGTGAAACATATATACCCTGTGCAATATACTTTTCAGTTAAGGGTTGCTAGCAGCAGTAATTCACGGAAACTGTGTTTCATTACTGTGAGCGGACACTCAGGTTTGATACCAAAACAGAATGTGGTGCATGCATTAGGATAGTAAAATTAGTTGGAAATAATGCTTTGGACTTCACCAAATGAACCTTGAGCCTTTACATATTTATTAATGCAGCTGTTTTCAAAATTTCTGCACCAGAATTAAAAATGGCACAGCTACTGCTATAAGGCATTAGTTCACGAGGGATCCTGAAAAAAGAGGCTTTGCATCAATTAATATGATAGAGATGATGGTCTTGTTCTTCATAAGATCCAGAGCTTCTCTTTAAAGGATGTATAGCTCTAGGGCATGTCTCTGTGCACATCTGCATACCCAGTCACATACACAGGCAGTCATATACTAGTTTTGAAAGCTCTTGAATTTAAGGCACAGAATGCCATGTTACAAGCATTTTGAGATATCATCCTAAAATGATAATGAATGTGTATGGGAACCCCCTTCCTCAGGAATTAAACTAATAATTTTATTTTGATTAAGGTTGGACATGAAATAAATATGAAATCTTTGGTACTCTCTGAGTTTGCTTGCTTACAGATGAATCGTACTGATGAGATTATTTATTTGGGTAAGGAGACATCTGCAACCAAACCAAGCTCAGAGAATGCCAAGAACTCCACAGTTCCATCGTGAGCTACAGATATTCTTTCCTATATAATAGACAATTTGTAATTATTGAGTTACAAATTATATATCAAAAAGCAAGGATAGAATCTTGCAACTTTACTACTAAACTTTACTGTTTTATTTGAAATAAAAAAAATTAAATGGGAGTCTATCTTTTTTAATAGGAAGGACATATAAATTTGCTTGATTTTGCATAATCTCTGAAATCAGTTCTGCATATTCATCAGAAGCACCTTTTTATTTTTGGCCCATATTTGTTTTTTTTATAGCATCAATAGAATCAAGAGTGCTCCAGACTTAGTCAGTAGACTGGGTATAATTAGCTGTTTGCTTTCTATATCTACCTTCCCCAAAAATCCATTATGAAAGACTAGCCATTTAAAATAATTTTAAAAAATACCTAAATTCTGTAACTTGCATATTTTTAGAGGAATTCCAAGAATTCCAAAGAAACAGTACTGATAGGCTTCTATCAGACCTACAAAAGATATACTATTTATTTGGCAGAGATGCCAGAGACATAAGAATATTTCTGAGAGAAGCCAAACAACATAATTTTCTATAACATAAATAATTGAAAAGAATTGTAGGCAGTTTACACAGTCCTTGTGGCTGTGATAAGAAAAAGGCATTTAGACATTTGATTTATATGATTTTTAGTATTGAAAAGTCTGAGCATGAATATGAAGCCTCAGATAATATACATATTATTTCAACACTGATACTCCTTAAGATGTTTCTAGCTCTCAGTTTGACAACTTTTGTCATAGCAAAGAACAAACAACAATCAGGGCAGATTAAGATATTATTCAATCTATGAAATGTTGTATTTTGCACAAATTATGACCAGAAATTATTTTCAGGAGCAACTATTGGATTTTGCAGACCTACATTTGGAATGTGCACATTTCTCTGCATAGAATTACACAAATCTGGTAACTTTTGACAATGAGCAATTAATTGCTTATAACTAGTCTTAGTGAATGTAATTTGAAACATTTATGCAAAGCTGTTTAAATGTCAGTCTTGCTTATTGCATTATAGAACTATTTTACTAAATCAAAGAGGAATGTAAAAAATGTAGTAGTTCTAATAGCAAAAAAGAGAGAACAGGCTCAAAGGTTGGCACTGATAGGTTGAATACAAATGAATTATTAAAAATGTTTCATGATCATTCATTAATGGGAAAACCAACAAACATCACCAAACTATATTTATATGTTACTTTCCCTGTCTTAGTTTCATATCTTAGTAGGATATGAAATTGACTGTAATTGAGAACAAAAATGTTACAAAATGGCTCCAGATATCAATTATTTTTTAATCAGGCTTTAGATTATGAAAGTTTTTCTTAAACTGCATTAAAAAGTTGGTAACAAAAATGGCAGCCCGAAGCCTCTATGTACTTCATCTAAGCTTAAAATATGTTTTTATGTTATAAAAAAATAGAAATAAAGAAAAAATTGGGCAAAATTTGCTCTTAACTAGAATTGGACAAAGGAAATATTTATTGATCCTTTGACTTGGAAGGAAAAAGCCACCATTGGTAAAATAGATTGCTGCTTATATAAGGCTTCACTGTTTCTAAATTAATATAAAAAGGGAACTAAAAAAAGTTCAAAAGGAAAGTGGTTCAAATAGAACAGAAAAAAGTATCCATACACACTGTATCTGGATGAAAAAATGTTCTTATCTATCAAAAATAAGATACAAAACCACCTGTTCCTCGTATCTACAGACCACTCTATAAATCCACTGGATGAAACCAACGTAGAATTATAAAAGGTAACAATAATACATGTTCATATTGTTCTATAAGAGCTCATGGTTGCTTTTATCACAGGAGAGGTGGATGTAGTGCTTGAGGACACAATCCACTAAATTCACTGCTTCTGAATAACCTCATAATGATCATAAATTGCAGAGTCTGGAAATCTGCATTCCTTATTATATTCAGGCTTTTGAAGATGGCTTTTACATCAAGGAGTTCCAAATATATATGTGTATGTATATTTGTATATATATATAAAAGTCTGGCACAAGTTTTCTTTCAAAATGTAGCACAGGATGTTCTTTGGCTGATAAAAGCATAGAATTCCAAGTTGAAGCATGAATACAGAGCATTCAGATCAGTGCTGTAATGGGCGATACACAGAACAGGATGCTTTAAAGTCCTGACACATTCTTGATACAGTTGCATTTAATTTTTGTTGTACTTCTCAGCACACAATGTGAAGCTCAAAAGGGAAAAACTTCCAGACCACTTAAATAGCTGGTAGGGTGCGTCGCTGTTGTGCTGTTAACTCTGGGTGCCAGACATCCACAATGAATATCAGCCGATAAGTATTAGCATCCTGCCACACTTCATGTTCAAAAGAATCATCAAAAATGAGAATCTTCCCTTCTTCCCAGAATCTGAAAGAAAAAACAAATTATAGTTTACCTGCTGCTATGAGAACTCAAAACTTTTTCAGTTGTATCTACTACATCCTGGAAGCAAAATCTACATAGCTGATCAAAGTCACCAGGTTTATCTATAATGTCATACAGGTGGTCTTTGGCTTACAACTATTTGTTTAATGATCATTTGAACCTATGATAGCATTGAAAAAACTGACTTATGACACTTAACACTTAACAACTGTTGCAATCAGAGGTGGGCTGCACAGACTGTAACAACCGGTTTGCCTAGTGCAGAACCCAAAATGTGAGCGTACTCACCAATGCGCACTTCACCCATGTGTGCAGCTGCAAAACCACAAATATTTCCTGTGCACAGCAGCTGTGGTGAGTAGAGCGGGAGAGGGCTGCATGGGTGGGGCGAGCAAGCTGGATATATAGGACAGGATAGCATGAGGGTGGGTGGGGCCAGCCAGTGGTCAGAACTACCGGTACAGTTGAGCCAGTCCAAACTGGCAGCAGCCCACCACTGGGTGCAATGTCTCCATGGTCACATGATCAAAATTTGGGCACTTGGTAACCAACATATATTTATTACAGAGTCCTGGGCTCACATGACTGTCATTCATTTACTTTTCCAGATGACTTCCAATGAGCAAAGTTAATGGGGGAAGTTTTTAATGACCGTGTGATTCACTTAACAACCAGTGATTCACTTAACAGCCATGGAAAAAGGTCATAAAATCAGACATGACTCACTTAACAACTTCCTCACTTAGAAACAGGAGTTCCAGTCACAATTGTGATTGTAAATCGAGGACTTCCTGTAGTTATTATTTCTTTCATTCTACCAGGTGAAAAACTGATAACCTTGATAGGAGCCAAACTGTTTATAATGACCCAGAGGCTTTCACAGAAAAATGTACTATGTGTACTATTTCTCCACAAGTAAAAAAATATCTGAAATAGTGTTTGCTACTATGTCTTACTCCTTGGATTTTTTTTCCACTTCCAAATGCGCAAGTCCCATCTACTGAAACATTATGGGATAATAGGTAAGGCAATAAGGGCAACATGGAAGATGCACACAATAAGAGAGAAGGAACTGTAATACTGTGTGAAATAATACCACGTTTTGAAGTTGCTGGACATTTAAGCAGGTATTATAGCGACAACAGTTGAAAAAAACAAATCAAGACTAGGCAAGACAAAATGGTGAGGTATATTACAAAGATTTCAACTCATTTATATTATGTAGAAATGAAATGAGAAAGCGATGTTTCAGCTGTTAAGTAACATTGGATTGCCATAAAAATCACCTCTCATTTCCTGGGCTGGCTTTTAGTCATGAATTAATAGTAATCCAAAAAAGAGAGGGTTTTTTTGTGCCACTGGACATCAGGAATTTCAAAAGCGTAATACTGGCACCCTCACAATTTGACCAATCATATAAATCCGATTTGCCAGGAAGTAAACTCTGTGATCCATGCATATGCATGCATGTCAAAACAGTCATGAAGATAGCTGCAACTGTGGGATTGAAATTCTACTCTTTTTTTTTTTACATATGTTGCAGCTGTACACTGCACTTACAAAGTTATAGGATCACATTTTGCAGCTTGCCATCTTGACTTTTTTGACCCACTAGCTGTGTATCCCACTATTTTTCATTGCATTATCACTACAGCTTCTGAGAATACTCTTTACTTTCCCAACTCAATTTTACCTTTTTTAAAGAAGGGGGGGGACAATCATACGGCACCCATGCAAAGGAAGTTTGATTGCAGCCCCATACTATAGCTTTGTTATAAACAATAAACAAGAAGAAAGAGCTTCAGAGGAGGAGGAGTCAATTCAAGGAGAAGACATCTTAAATAGACAATTAACACAAAGAACACTACAAAGAAGTGGGGGAAGAAGGAAGGCTAAAAAGTTGAGATTTAAGAAGGCAATCAAAAAGGGGAATACCCGTGAAGTCGAGAAAGGCAGAAAGATCCAGCAGAAAAGGGGAAAGGAAGATATCAAGAAAGAGAGGGATATAAACTGGAATGAGAAAAGATATGGGGAAAAGGTGGGGGGAGAAGCAGTAAGAAACAGGTGCATGAAATAAAGGAATATGGAAATAGTAAAATGTTGAAAAGAAATAGTTTTTTCAGAGATAATGGTTGATGAATTAAAAAGGGGATTCTGCAGGGTAACAAGGGGTAACAAGAATATACCTGCAATTAAAAATATTTAGAAAATAGGGTAATTTAGATTATTAAAGGAGGGATAGATACTGATAACTCTTATTAAAAATTAAGGGGGGAAATATGTTGCAGAATCCAAATGAAAAGATGTAATGATTATTATTGTAACTTCTTAAAAATAATGGTTTATTGGGAATCAAGATGAGGGAATAAAGGTATATTTTAACCACTGAGGTGTCACACTCAAAGCAGTAAAAGTGGGGAAACTTATACTTGTTTTTTTTTCTTTAGTGTTAAAACTTGTATTAATCTAGAATTTATAAAAAGAATGTGTGATGGAAAGGGAATATGACAGATTAAAGAACCACTAAAATTAATAAGTTAACATAGACTATTAAAAGGAAGGAGAGACATGGTAACCATTATTATTATTATGCAAACATTTATTGTTTATCTTTAAAATAAATATTAAAGGATTATATTTGAAATAATTGAAATGAAACAAAAAGATGTTTCGATTGAGATTAATGAAAGAGGCTAGAATTAATTTGTTTGTTTCTCTCCTTATTGAAAATTTGGAATGGAAAAGATAATAATAGAATTAAGTATGCATATATGAATGTATAACTGCTGTCATATTTGTATGTGAAAATGATGATCCAGGAATATGTTGTCCACTAAAAAGAGATTTTTGTTTTTTATGTAAAAAACTGAATAAAATTTGTTAAAAAAAAACAATAATGAAGCTAAAAGCTGTGCTTTATTTGCAACATCAAATTGTTTTCAATGGTAATAATCTCAAAATTATGTGATACTCAAATGAAGCAGGAGCTTGGATGATGCCAAATTCAATGCCTCTGTAGATATTGATAAGTATAGATACCATAATATATAGCCCTGACTAGGTGGAGTTAAACAGGCTTCTAAACATGTCTATACTACTCTCTCTGATGGTTTTTTGCTAGCTTAATTTACAATGGAGATGTTTCTCTTGGCTTCCATACCAGCTCTTACTTACTGGCTCTTGACATTATAGGAAAAAAAAGTGCTGTGAGGAGAGGAAAGGATACCTGGTTTCTTGAGCACACCGTATCCTGCAGCCTTCTTTAGGAATAACCAAGCCTAAATGCATCCTCAACCTACAGTTAGTGGGCCCTGTGTGAGGCCAGACGTGAGTCCCTGGGTGCATGACAGAATACTTGATCTGCAAAAAGATGTAGTTGGCTTTAAAAAAAAATCATGTCAATTATGTCAACCTTCTAGAAATATAAATAAACTATATCTAGTTGAACCCAACCAAAATGATTAAAGTTTACGTTAGGCTCTCTACCTGCAGTTTTGAAGCAAATTAATTGTGAACATCTTTGTGGATGAAAATGAATTTCAGTTCTTCAGATCACACAATAGCATCTTAATTAAAACTGAGTCTGCTGGAACTATTCTAATTCCATTTAATCAACATACGTGTCTATTGTGGATTATATTTTCATTTTTAAAAATAAGGATGTAAATATATATAATATATATATATATATATATATTACGTGGCTTTATTTTCATGTGTTAATCATAGTTTAAAGAGACATACTGTAAATGTCTTAATTTTCTCCATTCCTGTCATATAACCAACAGGAAGATTTAATTTCAAATTGCAAACTATAATTAGTGATTATACATTGAAAGATCAAGACAATTTTCAATCAAACCTGATTTTAGGTGATTTAACAGCAGCAATATAGAAAAGATTGCCTCTATTTTTTTTCAATCTAGCCAACAGAATTGTTTTGTAATATCTCTCCAAGTGCAAATGAAGACTAACTCTACTTAGTGTTTTTTTTAACTTCAATCAAGGATTAAACAATCAATTTGTTAACTGATTTCTGAAGCTGAATCATATTGTTGGCATTAAACACAATTCCGGAAGCAGACCAGAAGACAATTCATTCAAATCAGTTTATGGTCAGCACTTTTTATAAACAATTATGTTAGCATAATCCTATTTGAAATAAACTTGACTTTAGCCATGTTATGTATAATGTAAAGGTTTACTTTTCAAAACTTAGTTGTATCTCCTTCTACATCATTGTACTTATTGACAACAGTGACTGTTACTGTCCTGTTTTCAGACCTAGACTATATAGAAAAACGAACATCATTGCATCATTTCTCTGTAACAAATATCATGTTGACTTACTCATAAGCATTTAGCAAAGGTAAACTGGAAAGGCAGAGATTTCATTTAGCATTTGCCCCCAAAACCAATTAATAATTATCTTTCTTCTTAATTTTTTCTAAGTCATACTCACAAATCAAAGTAACACATATAAATCCACATCCACTCCCCAATATATATAAGGACTGTAAAGATAACTCAAAGTTATTTATTTATTCAATTTGTATAGCCACCCATCTCAAATACATGATTCTGGTTGAACAGTTGAAAGTAACTCCCAGTCACATAATCAGCAGCTGAGTAAAAATAAAACCGCCACCATCAGATCAACGTAACACATCTGGATCCTGAAGCTTGATGACAAAACCATGTCTTTAAGACCAGCAGGGTTAGGATCAATCTAATCTCAGTGTGTGTG